CCAACTCAAGACACTCTATATAAAGGAGCTGTGTGCCCCTTCTCTGAAAATCAGGCACTTACAATGTGTTTCAAATTGACCATCCAAGAATTGAGGCACCCAAAATCATTTATCACTTTTGAAGATTTTGACCAAGACTCCTAAATCCTATTCCCAGTTTTGCAACTGTATTAAGGTGTAGCTTTGAGAAAGTCATAACTTATGTGCTTCACTTCACCCCAATGTAAAATGGGTATAATAATACCTACCTATCTTCTAGGGATATTGTAATGTTTGTAAAGTCATTTGAGATCCTTGGATGAAAGGTAATCTATATATGCAGAGTATTATTACAGTATATATTATTGTTATTTATTGAGAGTGGAATATGTACTCAGCCCCGTACAAATGTAGAAGATGACATAGGAATCAAACCTGCAAGGACCTGTAGATGGAATCCACAAAGCTGCTTAGGCACCTAAACCCAGATTTAAGCACCAGGATCCCATTTTTAGGTGCCTAAGCCCCCCCCCAGTGTAATGCACAAAACTCCTGCTGAACCCCGTAGGTGCCTAAACTCACTCAGTGCCTACAGGGTTTGGTGAAAGAGTGAGTGGAGCAGGAGAACTTGACCACGAGTATCTTGCCCACCAGGTGGGTGCTCTATCTCTGGACTACAGAGTCATTCCTACTCTTTCATTATTTATCCACAGTGAAACAGCTTCAACAGGAGAGACTGAGAGAGCCCTACATCAGACTATCCCATAGCTCAGTGCTTGAAGTACCCTCCTGGGAGGAGTGGAAGACCCCCTGTTCAAATCCTTTCTCCCCCTCTGGCAAAGAGGGGACAATTAAACCTTGGTCTCCCACATCCATGGTGAGCACTCTGGTCTAAAAGTTATAAAGTGGGCACCACCACCTCTTCCTTGAGCTGTTTTGTGTGGAGTGAGGCAGGTACTTAACTCATTCACACAAGAAATTACATAGGTGCCTAAGCCAGGAGAGGGGTTCCTGGTCATGGATCACTAGCAGAGCTAAGTGCCTATCTCTGAGAAGGGGGTTGGGGCTTAGTACATTGGCAGCTCACATTGGCTAGTTTAGACAGGGAGCCACCTAGCATGCTGGCTTTGTGGATTCCAGTCTAAGGCACCTATCTCTCCCCATTCATTGTTCAGGGAGCCTAGGTGCCTAACTTGGCTTTGTGGATAGCAGAGGTGTTCCTGTGATTTTTCTAGGTGCCTAAAAGTTAGCCATTGTGATGCTCAGCATTGCAACTCCTAAATCCCTTTATGGATTCCACCTTGTATGTCTTCTGGGAGGTGCTAAGTGCCTCCAACTCCCATGAAAACAATTGAGGTACTTAGCATTTTGGAGGAGATGCTCCTTGTTCTGCTACTTGTTTCTACACCATGTAGAATAAGACCCTGTCCCAAAAGATCTTACAGTCTCTAGGACCCTAAGCCTGCAAACTGCTCTGTTCAGGTGGACCATTGTACTCATGTAAAGCCTCATTAAATTAATTGATCTAGGGATTCTTACTCAGATGAGCAATCATTACTCATGTGAGTAGTCTCTTTGTTTTCACTGGGACTTCTTGAAAGGTTCATGATATGCAGGCTGCAGAATTAGGCACTCTACCGACATCAGTGGGAGTTCTGTCCATGATGGCTTGCTAGATCCAGCCCTACAAACAATATAGAATAGACATATAAGACAGTCTAAAGTTAAAATGGCTCAATTTTCAAAAAATATATGTATAGTTGATAGGTAAATGTTGTTATATTATTATCCATATTGTGGTTTGTGCTATTTAAATAATTTCTATTTCTTTCTTGACTCTTGATTAGTTAGCACTGGTTTTACTATTTCATTTTTTACAGCTAAATGATCTTATAGGCACATTTTAGAATGAAGCTAGAATGAAGTGGTGTTTTTTACTTTTCCTTCTAAATGTAGGTGAAAAAAACCCCTAATTTAAAATAATGGATATAAAAATATATAATTCTGCTACTTGTTTCAACATGATGTTGATTGTACTGGCAAATTTAGCTGAATTAGTTGTAAAATATTGTTAATGATATGCATGTGAGTAACTCAGGTCGAATATAGAAGAGAATACAAAGGGTCGGATTATTTAGTTCTTTTTGAAGAGGTCAAGTGAGGACGTCAGTTCAAGGACGTATTGCGCCATCTGCTGGTAATATCTATAATTTCCAGAGAGGATATTTCAAACTGGCTTTAAGTACAGTTCATTAAAAATACCAGACTGTAAGGGTTTGATTTTTTTTATTGTTGACATAATCAGTTGCAATTCTTATTACTCAAACAGGATAATGTAGTACTTAATATGTGGCAAAAATATTATTCTTGTAGACTTCAGAAGGTACTCAGCAAACAGAATAAAGCACTGTGACCCAGAAGCCCTCTGTAAATCAAGTGTCTAATTTCTCATTGCCATATTTCTGTGCCCTGAGCAAGCATTTTCTATTATATATGCTATAGAAAGGATCTAAAGTTTTTAAAATAATGTTTTCAACCAGTTAGTAGTGATGCAAACAGTATTTAAATAAACTTAAATGCTATGTTCTTTCTACTACCCATGATCATTAGTGATACTTGCTCAATTAATGTATGTCTAGCATATTTCCTTGATTTGTTTGCTAAAAGGGCTTTTATAGTCTGTAAATTATAGTTCTCCAGGAATATTAGTTTGTTTGAATAGCCAGGATGGAAGCTTGGACTTTGAAAGTTCCATCTTTTTTATATGTTTTTTTAATGGTGTATTTAACACAGTGTGTTGTCTTGCTTATTTTCATTATAGATCTTCTAGAGGGTGAGGCCTATACAGCCCATCAATGGAAAAGGTGAACATCTTTTTTTTTTCTAATATATTGTAATTTGAAAAATGTAAAGAGACACTCAGGTTCAAAAAATCTTATTTAAAACCAACATGTTTGATACCTATATTACCTATATTACAAATAATACTGTAGGGCCTGATCCAGCAAACAGGTATCCACCTAAATACCTTTATTCAGGTAAGTAGCCCCAGACTTCAAGTGTGTAGTTTTTGAAGGACAGGATCCTTACGTTGTTAAAACTGAAATTATTAAACTTAAATGAATTTGCTTTTTGTTATCTCTGCTGCTTATTTACTTCTTACCTTTCTTTCAATTTAGGCAAAGAAAAGAGACTAGTGAGTTTCCATTTTGTTTATAGTAATTTTCTAGTCCATTTCATTTCCACGTTTTTATACATTATGCTTTCATACACTATGTTTAGGTGGAGAACATTATGGGTGCTGATTTTTTTTGTTTTTTTAAAAAGTGAAAAAGAACCCACAGAATCATTTCTAGCTAATTTTTAAAACTTTGTAACGTCTGAATTTTGCCCCAAATTTTACTGGAGAATATCTTTCAAAATACTTGCTTGTGATTTCCTTGTTAAGAAACAGAGCGCTCGCTGTTGGGCTGATAAAGTTTGACATTGGAGTAAAATTTCTTGTTTACTGGAGTCAAAGTTACAAGACTCTAAGGATGGGCAGGTTTGACAAAAAGCATATAACCTGAATGAGATCAACGAGTCTCCCTGATTTTAAGGGCGGAAAGGGGCTTTAGAGATTACGGAAGCTTTGCTGTTATTTTGCCAACTCTAGAAAACTGTTTTCTCCTTTCTTCACTCCCACCAAAATAGGGATAAACCGTTTTACTTTTACTCCACTCAATCGCTTATTGTGTTTCCTGACTGCTACAGTGTGGTAATGGTTATCTGATCTCTTTCTTGAAATGAAATAATGCCCTCCCCCCATGCCGGTTCTCCTGACATCGATCAGATAATAACTAGAACTGAACATTTGTGTCAGCAGAGTTTGGGGAGCAACTAGTTGTTTGTCACTCAGGAATTTAACCAGATTAGTTCTCTTATATGGATTATATTCGCTGTTACTAAAGCGCATAAAGGTCGTAATCCAATTTATGCACATTACAGTAAGTATTAACTTTATTTGCTATTTTAAGTCTGCCAGTTGCATCATGTGTTGGTAAGCGGGTTAATACTAGTTCTTCTGATGCAATCCAACAGACTTCAAAATACAAAATGTAAACACGCTTACAGCCCACTTACGTCTTAGAAACTGACAACTTCTAGTAAATTTCTATCATTAAGGCACTTAGGAGACACTTTTAAGTAACTGCTGCAGACAGATCCTCACTCAGTCCTAAGGATCACTCTTTTTGAAAGACTCCTTCCAGTTAGCTGCGTGTTTCATTAAGATACTTAACAAAAGTCACTCATCATTTTTAACCCTCCTTCATTCATTTTGTCTCCACACAAGCTTTGTAAATGCCATTTCAAGTTATTTTATGCCGTCTTTTGTGTTCATTTCAAAAAATACTTTACAAAAGTTAAGGTTTGGGTTTTCTTAATTTCCTCTTTCTGCTCTCTCCTTGTAAAAAGGATCCCTCTAAAATTCCCAGACAAACTCAAGCAGCTCCCCTCCGTCGTGCAGTGCCCCCTCCTCATCCCCTGCTTTACTGCTGGGGGCTAAGGCTCTAGACATTGGTTACATTCCAGCAGTTTTAATCCGGTTTTTATTGTCAGACCTGAGTCGTTTACTCGGGGTTGGGTGGTGGGTTCCCCCCTCCTCCTTCCCCTCAGTAACCTGTTACTTTAAGTAATGCATTTGGGTTGTGATGGCAATGATCTGACTGTGAGGGCGGCCGGCCGGAGGGGTTAGTGATTTAGTTACTGTGTTTGATTGGCTCTTTTTACCTCTCTCTCCACGCTCTCCCTCTTTTCCTCCCTCCCTCCATTGCACAGTGTTATGTCTGTCTCAGTGTCAGGCTTGAGGTGCAGGGCGCATGCTCTAGTATCTCAGCCCCAGCCGCTGGAGCTGCTGCTGGGGGCTCAGTTTAATAAGAGAGAGAGAGAGAAAGAGACAGGGGGAAAAAGAAAGAAAGAGAATGTCCGCCATCTACTCTCCTCTCCTGTGCGCACTCTCAATCACAGCAGCTTCTTCATGAATTAGAGCTAAGGGGGTGGGGTGGGGGACAAAAGTACATACCCCAGCAAACCCCAGGGCCCCCAGGCATGGCCAGTTCGGTAAGTACATAGAATCCCCCTCTCTCCCCTCCCTTTCCTCTCCTCCTCCTCCTCCTCCACCCTGCGCTGCCCAGACACCGTTTAGTGCTTCCAATTAGAGAAAGGTTGGTGTGTTGGGGATTTTTTTTTAAGTGTGTGGCTTTTTCCTCTCGCTCGCTCTCCCTCCCTCCCCTCCTCTCTTTGCAATTGCATGAAGCGCACACACACATCTAGAGAGAGAGGGAGAGAGACGGTGGAGGCGAATAATAACCCAGCCATATTTCTGCAGCCGCAGCAGCCAGGGGAGCAGTGAGTACAGTACAGGGGACTCAGCGCAGGAGGCGCCGCTTAGGATGGTGCGTTCTCTCCGGCGTGGCTCTGACAGCCAGCGGCCCCCCAGTAACTTTCCCTTTATGCATGCATGTGTGTGTGCAAAACCAGCTGTTAGCGTGTCCCCCTCCTCTCCCCTCGAACCCCTGGACTGTCGCACTGGCAGCCGCTGGCGTTTTTATTTATGCATGGAGGGGGGGTTGTATTTTTGTTTTATCTCTTTCCCCCCCCCCCGCCGTTCCCCTTGCGCATCTTGACTTATTCTTTTTATTTGATGCCCATGCGATCTGGATTTAAATGCCTTGGAGTTTAGTTCCTTGCCACGAATATGCAATTTCAGGAACAATCCACCTCCAAATGAGACTTCTTTCTATTCTAAAGCATTATGGGGTGGTCCCCCCCCCCGTTTTCTTTGCCTTGGAAATACTGCCCTTGCGCGTGTTCATGTGTGTCCATTGTATTTGTGTTGGGGTTCTGTCTGCTTGCTTTGAGGCTGCATTCCGTTACAACCCGAGCCGATCGCTTCTTCGTCTTTCCTGTGGCGTGAATGCACGTTTAAGTGTCTGGGGTGGCTTCCCTCCCCCACCCCCTTGTTCTATGGCTATTTTCTTTGTGTATTTTGTTATTCGTGCTGCCCTAAAGCTGAGTGTGATCCTTCGCCTTCCTGCTCATTGTTGCCCTTCTCTCTCTCTCCAGTGTGCTGTTCAGGTGAAACTGGAGCTGGGGCACCGAGCCCAGGTTAGGAAGAAACCCACCGTGGAGGGGTTTACCCACGACTGGATGGTGTTTGTTAGAGGACCCGAGCACAGTAACATTCAGCACTTTGTGGAGAAAGTCGTCTTTCACTTGCATGAAAGCTTCCCTAGGCCAAAAAGAGGTAGGGCTCGAATACAAAAGTGGCTTGATAAATATGGATTTAATGTGTTTGCGTAAGGGGAGAGAGAAACACTCGCCTTTCAAGTCTTGCTTTACATGTATGCTCTGAGCGCTGGCAGGCGGCGACCGCTGCTGCAAAGAACTGCAGCCGGGCTCCTGGCGTCTCAGAAATCCTTGCATGCAAAGGACCATCAGGTGTACTGTATTTTTCTCTCCCGAAACGAGAACTCCCTAATCCCTCTGGCTGAGCTGGGAGTTAAGCAGCTGATGCATTTGTTGCGTGTTCAGGTGGGGAAACAAAAGCAGCATTTGTGCTCTCTCTCACAGTCAAGGGATTGGCATCTGGGCACTATTTTATCCCTGTGATTTATTTCTGCCTTTCCCCCTTGTCTTGCAATGACTCTGAGTTGCTGCCGCAATCATCTTTAATCTCTGCCGCCTGTGACTGCGTATTGGGCAAAGATTGCATGAGGTCTTGTCTTCGACAGCATCTTCATGCCTTGTTTTACTTTTGAATGGTGTCAGAATCTCTCAAACCCTACCCAGTAAATCGATAGTGTAGAGTGGTATATTTTGTGCTACATGTTGCATCCTGTTTCTAGATCTACATTTCTTTTAGTGTAGTAAGTACATGGGCTGGAGGAAAGTATCTGTATGCCTTGCTGGTGAATTTTGATATCGATATGACTTCTTAGTATGGACTACTGTTTTTACTAGTTATGCTACGTTTTGGGGTTTTGTTTAGTTATTGAATTTGCATAATCATTAGCACCCACCTTTCTTATTTTTTAAATACTATAGGACTTTTTTTTTAAAGTGGGTGGTACTAGTTGATTTTTGTTAATGGAGATTTTAAAATCTTTTGTTTTTTCAGTTTTGATTCTTTTGCTCTCAAAGCTGCTGTCTGATTGTTTTAGTTGGATTAGTGGAGGTAACAGTACAAATATAATAAGGTGCTTTGTTTGTGTGCAGGTTTATTTATCTAAGTAGACACAATGGTTAGTAGTTATCTCCCATTTGATCTGTAATCTTTATTGGCATCTAGAACTCCTGCAGTTCCTTAGAACAACATCATAATAAATCCATTCTGCTTAGAGCTATGTGGGAATTATTGAACATATAGAGAGTGAATAAAGAGAGGAAGCAATCAGTGTCAAGTTTAGAGGTAGCAAAGCTCTTGTTTTGTTAACATGTATACTTGTGTTAATGCTGTTCACTTATCAAACGTCAAGTTATGAATTTCTTCTTTTTACACTGAGTTTGTAGGATTGGGAGTCTGCTATGATTCTCTTCCCAGGTGCAAACTAACAGTTCCCTTTCATCCATCATTCAATCTAATTTATATTCACATCCCTAAAACAGTCATGCAGTGCACTCTGTCGGGTCCTAACTATTGTACAAGAGACTGCATAATACAATTTTCAGTGATTTTCATACATCTATGCTATACTGTCAGCAAAATAATTCCCTATAAGAATGTGGATTTTTCTCGCAGTTTCCCATCTTCTTTTTGCATTTATTACTGACTGATGTGCACAAAAAGACAATTTATTTAAAGAAATATTAATTTGCATAAGAAACTTGGTGAAGAAGTGAGAGCTGTCTAAGGAGTCTAAACAGCTAGGTAACTTTGTCTGCATACTGTGAACAGATTATTATACTGAAATCAATGGTAGAAAGTGCTTTTCATATCTTAGAGCTGTATCTACGCCATAGTGGTGTTTTGTGAAACACTCTGCCTTTATTCCCCATGCTAATGACTTTCTGTCCAGCCTGAGGGAACGTGACTCTGTAGCCCAGACCTGGGGATTGTTGTTAGGTGTGGTACAAAGCTAGTTTAACTGTAATATATTTTTAGGACTTTGCAAGTGAAAGATGTATGGTTGTTTTGTTGAGTATGCTGGGCTGCAGAATTATGTTATGCAGCTATTAAAACCATTGTTTTAAAGTGTTTATTTTGGGTTTTTATTTGTATGTGTTTTTCATGATGTGACAAGTGCTGGGAAAAGCGCCAGCTTACATAGCCCGGGAGAGGACTTGTCATATTGTAATTACACATGACTCAGATTGTGAGAGACCATTCTGTTTATTGGGAACAGTTAGTTGTAAATTCAGTCTATGCTGAACATCTCTCACTTCTGGGATTCATTTTGACACATCAAAAATCTCCTAGCCATTTCAGACCTTATAAGTCAGAATGTGGAAGATTAGCGTCAGGTTATTAAGGATACTTTGTTTGTTTGTGCTACCCAACATTTACTCTGGTAAAAACCTTAGAAAAGAGTTTGTTTTATATGTCCCTTGTGATTTAGTGGATGGAAAAGTATTACATTAATTTTTGTAATCTATAATGATTGATTTTTTTGGAAAAAGTTGTTCAGACTTTTTGATCTTATATATTAATAGTTTGATTTAACCACAGATGGTCTTTACCATGATATCCAAAATATTTCATTGTAATGCTTTTGCTTGCAATCAGATGTCAGGCACTTTCTCTATCACTGTTTTTAAAGTTGCAAACTTTTATTGATTATTTTGTGTAAAAACTTGGCAGAATTTTTTTTCTTTGTATAATTTTAATGGATATAACTGATGTTTGTTTATTTAAAAATTCTTTATTGATTTAAATTTTCACAGTGGTGCGGAATTTTGCGGGAATAAGACAGTATTTAATAACACTAGATGCTGAGATTCAAAAAGTTAAGGCTTTATGGCAATTAAAACACATAGTCAACATTGTATTTCAAAATATCAACATAAATATCCTTAAATCAAACTACATCGTGAAGCAAAAAAAGATGGAAAAAATATTTCGTCGATCTGTGTGTAGTGAAATGATGTTTATCGATATTTATGGATAAAACACCTAATTGTTCCAAGGCTAAAGATAATTTATCAAACAAACATTTGATAGCTTGTCAGACAAATGAAGTCCTGGGATTAGGAGGAGGGAAGTAGGTGTACAGCACAAATCAAAGCAACATGTCATTACTTTGGCTTGTTGTTATAACATTATTCCTTAGTTTTTGATAGGTGATATTAGATATTGCTATATCTAATATTTGATATTGCTTCCATGGAATGATGCTGAAAATGGCTGCTTTAACAGGAATGATAGTAGCTAGTAGCAAAAGTTAAACTCATTAAGACTATTTGCAAAGCTGTCACATCATTTTGAAAAAAATAATTGGACATGCTATCATAGGTTTCATTTGGTTTATAATGTGTTGCTACTACTAGGTCACTTTTTTACTTATTGCAGTTTAACTTGGAGCACTAAAAAGGAATATATTTGTAAAGAAAACTCTTTTATGAAACTAGAAGTTACTCTACTGAAGAGGGTATGTTTACATGAACATCTTATAAACTATCAAAGCTCTGTGTACAGCTCTATTACTGCATATTGCCTTTTGACACTTTGACTTCATTGGTGATATTATAACTAGTAAGGGTTGGGCAACTTATAAAAATGAAGGTGTGTCCAGGTTGTATGTACATAACCTACATTCTTTTAATGGGAGCTGCATGTACAAATAGAGGGATGTGTGTACCCCAAAGTTACACTGGTTTAATTAAAGTGAAGATCTAGCTATGAGGATAGTGTAGTTCTTGTTTTTTGTTTTGTTTTTGTTTGTTTTAAACATTTAATTGGATCACTCCAGTTTGCCTTATAAATCTTCTTCTTTCTTTCAATTTCCCCCCTTTAGCGCTGTCCACACACACACACACACACACACACACACACACACACACACACACA